TTTCAAGGAATTGCCTCGAAAGTATCTATCTCTGTTTTCAGATTAATTTTAAGGGCCATTTATTAATAGTATTTTTTAAATTTCAGATTTTTCCAGTTTTAGCCCGTTGCTCTTTCTTCTAAATGCTCAATTTTCTAGCTTCACTTAAAAATGCTGACAAACTTAAGGCAAAAACTCGTTAACTCAGAGAGCGGCAGCAACTCAACACAGTGTTACTCAGACCTACAGTTAAGTACATACCATGCTACTAGTCCATGCTTACCATAGATCTTCTATCAGCAAGAGTCACTTCACTTATCGAGCTTATCGGAGCCATGCTTAGAAGGTTGCCAGTGCTACTTACAGCGCTTGGTAGATCGTCGTTTTCGTCACTCGCACTGTCTTCATCCTCTTCCAGCATTGGACTAAGCATTTCCGCGCTTTCATCGGGAGTATCCCAGGCCAGCTCGCTTGCGCTATCTAAATCGCGCTAGATCAAGAGCTTTCTTCGCGCATTCCGCTACTCACCTCTAAAGCTGATTCGTTTCTGTTTCTCCCGTTTGCTGTCCGCGCGCTTCAACGGCAGCAAGACTTGTTCTTCTGGAACAGGAGCTGCCTGTTCAACAGGTTTAGTTCCGTTGCTGTTTCCATTGGGTTTTTCTGTGAGCATGTTTCCATTTAGCTGCGGCGGTTTGATGATTTCCAGGTCGGAAGCCTTCGGCCGCAGCTGCAAGGGCTGGACGGGCTTGTTGTTTTCCTGCAGCATAATAGCGGCCTGTTTCTTCGACAGCAGGATACTGGCATCTGTTTCAAACTCCTTCTTCTGCTTGTATTTCTTATTGGTCCTGTAAACGTCGTAGATAATACAGATCAAGATCAGGAGGAAGAACGCGGCCAAAACAATTATTATCAGGTGTTCCAAGTTGTTTTCTTCCACCGAATCTGCCGCATAGGAGTGGGTGTAAAGAACTCGTTGCGGGGCGTCTTGAACCCAAGTTTTGTCTTTGCCCTGCAAGCAACGAAAGCTTCAAAGTCTTGCAAAGAGTTTTGCAAGGAATCCTCCTCACCTGGCTGATGTTTAGATTGGGAGTTCCCGGAGATTTTTCATGAACCACGTCAAAGTCTGCGCTACATTGGGCGCTTCGCACTCCATGAGAGTTGGACACATTGACCTTTTCGGCTCCATTTTTGGTGAACAGCATGTATTCCTCCAAGGGCTTCATCACATGCCCGTTAACAGCGATTAGAATATCTAAAGAAGCTGGATAGTGGCTAAACTTGAAATAGTTTATTGGTACTCACTTGAAAGGCATCCGCTGAACTTTTTGAAAATTGCAAATCGCGGATCGTTGGTTTCTTGGCCGCCGATGTGCACTTCATTGGCGCCCAGTTCTGGTATGTTGGTGAACGTTTGTGCAGGGATTTGCTCCATTTGCGTCAGCTCTTTGTCCACGTACAACTCGGAGTCGTTGAACGTTCTTTTGTAGTAAATCGAATGTCTGGCGCCGTTGATGAAGCTTTTCTTGCTCACAGTGGCTGAAAAGACTGCTCCTTCTCTATCCTCTTGGACTATTAGGAAGCCTTCGGTACTCAACCCCACTAGCAAATAGTAGCTTCGACTGGAGATAAATTGCTTTAGTGTTGCGACATATTGCAAAAGGAAATCGTACTTGTTTTCGGTTTGGAGGAGCAGCAGGATGGTGTTCTTTTGCCTAACATCCTGGCTGGAAAAGGCCACTTTTATCTTCACGTCGTCTACAGTGTCATTCAAGACGAAAACCCTGCTCAGGATGGCCTCTCCGTTGAAATCCGCCCCTGAAACCATTTGGTTGACTCTCTGGTTAACTCAATAAATGTTTAGGAGTTGGCGCAGAGCAACGCAAATGGCTTGGTGCGCCAACTCAACGCACCGGCGCAGTAACTCAGGTCCGTTGCTGGGAAAATGTTGATGACTTTTTTCACTTGTTTTTAGACTTATTTTAAGGGCGATTTATCAATAATATTTTTAACATTTGAAAATTTTCCAGTTTCAGTAAAGTTACTATTTTTTCTAAATGCCCAATTTTCTAACTATCCCACACTTAAAAATACTGACAATCTTGAGGTATTTTTCGCGAAAAACTATGAAATAAATTTTATCAGAACAATTTAGAAGTTTTTAATAAATTATTTGGAAACTCGTCACTGACGTCACACCTCTGAAGACTGTTAAAAAATGTGTTTTTTCAGTTTTGAATGAATTTTTTGGCTTTGCTTTTTACTCAAAAACGCTCTGTTTTGTAGAGTTTTACTTAAAAATACTGACAATCTGGATGTATTTTACTCGAAAAATTATATAAGATATTTTTATAGCTTTGTAGGATTTTACAAAAACTTTTTTCGGAGTCAAGTTCGGGACAAAAACGAAAAAAAATTTCTCCCATTTTTCCCCGAAAATCATTAAAATTTGCGCAAAAACCGATTACAAAAATAAAAGTTTCTAATCAAAAACCCAAAAAAACATTATTTTCTGATAGTTTTCCTCTTTTCTGACAATGGGGTCTTTAGAGCCAAAAATGAGAAAATTAATTTTGTTAGAAAATTCGCTTCATTCATCGGTTTGCAGGGAACTTTAGAAAACCCTTTTCAGCTTCGAATTTGCACCAAAACCAAATACATAGTTTTACTCAGTTTTTTACCGAAAGTAAATAAGATTATCTTGAAAATACAGCCAGAGAGCAAAAGTTTCCAAAAAATTATTTGAAAAATTCGCCCCCCTCATCGCTCTGAAGATTTTTCAAGTTTCTTTAAAATTTCAGGTTATTCCAGTTATAAAAAAACTTCTTTTAAGCAATTTTTTCTGCGCAAAAAACTTATTATTTTTAATTTTACTTAAAATATTGAAAATCTTCAGGTATTTTCTGTGAAAATTATACACTAAATCTTCAACAGGGGCCATTTCAAGAGCCAAACACTCTGCTCCAGAACAGCTTTGTAAATTTTTTCTGGAACCTTTTGCAGCTTCGAATTTTGGGCAAAAGCCAATATTTTTTTCTGGATTTTTTCCCAAACATATTTTTTGTTCACTTTCAGTTCAATATTTCTAAACAAAACTCTCTCTAAACAGAACAACGCGCTTTTTCCTAACGTTTTACTGTAAAATACTGGCAAACTAAGAGTCTTTTATGCAGATGGATTTTACAAGAAAAGTCGTCGTCCTTACAGTTTGGTCGTCTTTTTCGTCTTTTTCGAATACGCGCTTTACCTTTGAATTTGGGACAAAATCGAAACAAAGTTATCTTGTTTGTTTCCAACAACATTTAGGTTTTCTCAAAAAACGACCAGAGGAAGCAAAACCATTTAATCAATATTAGGAAAACTCGCGGCCCTCATCGCTCTGGAATTTTTTAAAGTTTCTTCAAACTTTCCGGATTTTCCCGTTTTAGACCAAAGAGTTTGAAGCAATCGTATGCACAAAAGCAATATGTGGATAACTCATTAACCAATAACTTAAAACTCATTAACTCAGAGAGCGGCAACAACTCAAAAGCGCAACTCAACACAGTGTTACCCAGGCCTACTCGAATCGGGCCCCTGAGTAGGTTTTACCTTTCTCCTCATTGCAGAACTCCCCATAGTAACTCGTGTGCTCGCAGTTGCAAGTGTGCTCCAAGTTGCGGAATTCCTCGATGCAAATTCCTCCGTTTTTACATGGCTCTTCGTCACATTTCATGTTGCAGTTGGGGATAACGCCTGTAGGGAAGTGACTCAGAAGATATCCAGAACAATTCGTCTTTCTTTAACTACCTTTAATTGTGCTGTTGATTTTTGGCGGTAGATCGATGAGCGTGTCGTGGATCTGGAAGCCTCTAAAGCACCCGACGTAGCCTGGAAGGTTTTGTACGTTCAAGTTTAGTTGGGTTTAAAATGCCGATTCCAAAATGGCCTACCTGGTAGAAGAGGGAAGTCATCGTTAACTCTTAGGAGGGTTTCCGGGTCGTACCCGCCAATGTTCAACTGGAAATACTCCGTAGGCGAGGCAGGGGGACGTTGTGGGGCTAAAACCTCTACAAAAACCAACCGCTCTGATTGCAAAAAGCCTCCTCACAGTTCAAACTGACCTTTGTCCGGGTTAGACCACGGCTTGTTAGCGTAAACGTCCAGCAGTTTCACCCCAATTGGAATGGAGTTGTTTTGGTCATTCACGAACATCGTGGTAAGATTCTCTTCGCGGACGATAGCGATTTGAACGGACATGCTAATGTTCAACTCCTTGTACGGCACGGTGATGTTGTAAATTTGATTGTCGTGGTTGAACAGATATTCCACTTTTGTCCCTGAAAATTCCCTTGTGGCTTTACATGGATAGAAACCGCCGGCCATTCTCACCTTCCACAATATGCAGATGCACGAAGTTATTCAGATGGTCATTGGCGTAGAATACTAGGGAGTAGTTGTCATACGTGCGCAAATTAACGAGAATTCGCTTTTTGAAAATGTCGCTCAAAATGGTTTTCTCCTCTTCAGTGTCGTTGTTGAAGTAGTTCTTGTGGATGTACGATTCGCTGTGCGTGAAGGTAACGGCGTTAGTATTTATATCTGAAAATCCGCAGTTTAGCCCAGGGTAACCTAAGGGCGGTAAAGACAACGCGTTCTCGAACGATTTGTGGAAATTATAGGGTTTTTCTGTGAAGAAAACGTTGTGTTTTACCGTTCCTAGAGAGTTTTCGTACTTGTCTCGCAATACTGTCCTTTATAAGCCCAAGGATTGGGGCAGACGCATTCAAAAGTACTCCACAGCTCTTTGCATTGAGCGCCATTTTTACAGGGATTTGGCACGCAGGACGGTTTGCAATCTTTAATGATTTCGCTCAAATGCACGCTCATGTAACTGTAAATGTCCAGGATTTCCTCATTTACCACCAAGCCGCGGAAACAGCCGATTAGACCCTGATGGACCGACGATCTGGGGTCTAACAGGTCGCTGAAAATTTCAAATTGTTCAGTTTGAATTTTGACTTTTTCCAGTAAATTTCAGTGCTCACAATGGGGCTCCTCCAATGAACATGGACCCTTCAAAGGGCCCAAATTCCTCTTCGGATTTCAGATCTACCATTTGATAGTCTTCGTTGATCATAAATCTGCAACATAGAAAGTGCAGCTGCTGCTGGGGCGCTTTATTGAAAAATTGGCTTTTGGGCTTGATACCTGACATGATATTTGTTGTAGTCGATCCACAGTTTGTGCCATTCGCCGCCGTTTAGTCTTCGCACGGAGTCAATTACTAGTTCCTTAGACACTCCGGTGTTCAATGTGAAATTGAACGTTAGCTGGAAGTCTGCAAAAAGCGCCTATTATGTCTTAATCGCTTGAAATGTGACCATGCGGAACCGATTTGATTTGCATAAACCTCACCACTTGTAAGCGCAATCATAAAACTGGGGTAGTTTGGCCGGATGGGGGGCTGATACAGCAAAATGGCTTTTTTCCCGGTTGTCCTGAAGGAGAAGGCCAGATCTCCCTTTCTCCAGCCAGGCACTTCGATATATGACTGACTGGTGGTGAAGGTTACCACGAACCTTTGAGTATCTGAAACCCATCCAATGGATCAACCAAACTCCGTTATAAATGCTCGAAGGTTCCTACTAGTTTCCACACATTCAAGCGGTCCTAAAGTGATCCTCCCCAGGGCGTTTTGCGGCAAGTCCGGTTGTTGGAGGAAGTACATCTCAGTGATGCCCAAACTGTCCCCTAATTGCAAGGAAACGTTTAAGAATTCCCCCCATTCCTACGGGAATACCTGTGGTGTAGTATCCATCATCAGTGTCCCATTTATCGTCAGACACGTCGTCGCAGTTGCACCATTGAGTGGGGTTTTCGCACTGGCGCCCGATGGAGCAGGGGCAAGTCCCCCTAAAATCCCCCGAAACTTAGCCAGGTGCATTGCAAAGCAGGCGCAAAGTACCTTTTAACATCTCCGATGAAATCCACCGTTTGGTTAGCAGAAGAAATAAACCAGGTGGTTGAATGGAGCTCCAGAGGCGCCATGAAGCAGTCGTACTTGATGTACTGGCTGCAGTTAAGCGAGTGGGAAACCAGTTCTTGTAGCATTTCTGCGTTGAATTCGCGATATTTTATGCTGAAGCTGCGACAACAGTTTTCTTTAAATATCCCCAGAGTCCTCTAGGGCGGGTTACCTGAAGTCCTGCTCTGATGGCGAGCGAACGTCCATTTGACTGGGCAAATTATGCTCGACGATGGTCTTGGTCGATTCTTCGATGCTCTGGAATTCGCAGCGAACGTGAGCAGGGGGAAACCTGCCGTTGCCATCAATATCGATAAGATATACATCAGGTTTGGTGTATCCTAGAAGGAAATTGGGTACTCTACATTTTTGGAGCTTTGCGCAGCTTTGGTACCTAAAAGGGCCAGTTCCTCGCAGGTTTTTCTGTAGAGGGCAAAGTGGCAGTTGGTGCCGATGTAGCCTGTGTTGGTGCAGTCGCAGGTCAATCGATTTTCCTTCACTGAGCATTTGCCTCCATGCTCGCAAGTGTTCGGCCTCTGGCAAGCATCCACAAATCTACAAGGAGCGCGAGCAAAACATCATGTTTCTTGCTTTGAGATCATCATCAGTTTGTAGTTTTACCTGCAGTCATCTAAGGTCACTTCCCCAACCACGCGCTCCGTCTGCAAGACGCTTCTGGGCTCCAAGCTGACTCCATTCACCTCAATGTTCCTCATGCAGCTTAAGTGGGAATGGATTTAATTGGGTGGAGGTTTCTCAGGTTTTCAACTCACCCAACCAATCCAGCGTTGCTTCGCGAGCCCGCAGCGATTTTGATTTTGTCGCCGATTGCAAATTTCAGATCGCCGATTTTTTCAGTTTTGCCCTTTCGGTCGATGCTGACCGTGATTTCCCCGCCAATGTATGTGACATTGAGGAAATGCCATTGGCCGGGAGTTTTCTTCACGCTGATCAAATGCGTGGTGTTTTGGACGCTGTTCAGAAGTTCAAAGCGAACTTCGTCGTTCACAACTCGCACTTCCCAGTAGAGGCCTGTTTGGGCTTCACTGGACGCGATTACGCTCAGATTGCTGCTCGCCTGCAAGTCGTTTTGGTTAAACTGTGAATGTGAACGTTTACGAGTTCTTCGCCCAATCGAACCTTAAAGTGGAAACTTAGGCTCAGCGAATCGACGTGAGCGTTGTGCCACCAAATGTGACTGGCTGAAAATGGGAAAGTGATGGGGATGATCTGGACGTCGCTTTCGTAGAACTCGGGCCTCAAAATCCCAATATAGTGGACCTTCGGGTTGTTCTTGTTCAGCTCGTAGATGATGGAGATGTCGTTGTAGAACACGTACTTGAGTGATCCGACGAAGTTGTTTTTCGACTTTAGGCCAGTTTTCTTCTGAAGCTCCGGCCCGCCGCCTGGAAGCTCGCCAGTTAAACCCGCCAAGGACTACTTCAGGACGTACCAATATAAATTTCTGGATCAATATAGAGCAGAGGCTTTCCAGTGATGTTCAGGCTCTTGATTTCGTCGTTCAGAATCAGATGGATTTTCTCGTGTTCGTGGAAAATAGTCAAGTTGTTCCATTCGTGCAGCTTAAAGTCCGGGGTCTGACCGAGCACGATGGTTACCGGACTGTTCTCCCCAAAGTCCATGACGATGTGCACGGAGCCGTTGAACACTGAGGCTGCTATGTAATGGTCTACTCCTTGTTCTCCTGCAAACGAGTTTGCCACTTTAAAAACTCCCTACTTTGTGCGGTTTCTCTGCATTGCCTCCTGCTGCGTAAAGAAGAGCGGAGTCATCAAATCTCGTCTTGAACAGCATGGAAAATCGGGTGACTGATGAGTGAACGCGGTCCTTCCAGTCATACACTCTGTAGGACACATAGGATGACCCTCTTAAGGTGAGAACAGTGGCCGCTGGAAGTCAACACGCAGTTAAGTAAAAAGCATTAAACCCGCTCTAGAACCTACTATAAATATCACAGTACTCTCCCTCATATCTGGTTCCGAAACAGTCGCAAGTGTAAGTGTAGTAGTGGTTCATACATCTAGAGCCCTTGAAGCAAAGATTATCGGATGTTAGGCACTTATTCTTGCAGCCTTCTTGGACGTTTTCGTGCTTCGTGGCTATTAGGGGGGAAATCTGCAGCAAATCGGACGCCGATTTGCCAGTGCTTAAAACCACATCTTTTATGCAACCGACGAAGGACTCTATGATGTATTTGACTCCGTGCAGCCGCTCTTCGGAGCTGAGCCCTAAAAAAGTGAGCGTCTAATTACCCACCCAATTTTGTTGAGCCTCCTTTGTCTAATTGCCTCCAATGAGAATCACCGACGTAACATTGGCAGTAACACCATAGTTACTTTCAGTGTCCAGTCCTTTCAGGTCTGTTTCGTCCCGCAATTCGTCGACTATCGCCAAGAGTTTGGCCGCATGGACATCAATTCGAACCTGCATTCAAAATGTCCAAAATCTTTCGAGTTTTGCCCATTTTGTACTCACTGTGACTGTGTGCCACTGATCGTTGTTTAAGCCTCTGCCGACGGTCAGGGCCGTGGAATGCTTGCCATAAACGTGAACGACTTTCAATTGGCCCTGTTGTACAATAATATACAGGGCGTATGGTTGCAAGGACACGCCATTTGGTACTTTAACGTTGTGGTAAACCAGCAGACCATGTGGTAGTCTTGTGCGGAATTGGAAGGAAATCTGGCGGCACAATCTCAGCTGGAACGTTTGTATAATATCGCCGTCAATCTGGATGAACGTATTAGATTGAGCGAACATAAACGTGTTCTCAGTCCCAGTTTCCTGGAACGTTAATTTCGGTCCCCTTTTCTCCTTGGGTATCACAGATACGTTTTGAACTGCAGTCTCATTCTTTTCTACAAAAGAGCGGCGCCAGCCTTAGGAAAGCGCCCACAGTGACTTTGATTCGGCTCACCTAAACTAGGAAAACACTTCTCGATGCAATGTTTCTCACTTTCGAATCTATTCTTGTCATTTCCAGCGCAACCGCCCCAAATGAATGTGATGCATTCCCTTTTCTCGTGATCGAAGGCCCATTTGAAAATGTTTCTATTGCAAGGGCCCTTTTCAGGCGTGCCAGGGCATGGCTCGATTCGGTTTTGCTCAGGACGAGCAGTTACTAAAGCGAGCAGTGCGATAGTCAGGACACATCGCAACATCTGAAAAAATCATTCAGTTAGATGGTTTTTGGCTTTTGAATTTGGCATTTCAGGTCACTGCACGTGTAAATTGATGCGCGTAGCGCAAGTTGCCTATACAAACAGCATGCAAAACAGTGGTTTGGACTACCAAAATTGCTGGTTTTTGTTGGAAAATTTTAATTGAGACTATGGATTAAGTTGGATAATGTATATAATCAGCGGCGAGCGGCCGGTTGTAAATTTTCATTCAACTCAGCTCGTCCTCAACTAATTGCGGGTTTTCGGGTCAATAGAAATTCCCATTTGAATATTTAAAGGTATTTTGCATAACTAAATGATCCGAACCAGGCTGTTTGGTTAATTTGCCTTAATTAATAACTCGAGCCAACTTTTTTAAGTGTGGTAAAGCCCCTAATAGAAAAAGTGAATTGATCAGCGGACTTTACGATTTTTGCTTCGAGAGCTACGAATGTTAGGATTAAATCAGATGAATTTGATTACTTAGTGCTTAATGAGTTTTTTATAATTGAAGGTGAAAACCCGAGTGAGCTGCCAGTCAATCCAGCAGCGGCAACTAGAGAAAATTATCGTATTGTCGCATATTAAATTAGCGCATTATCCACATTCCTATTATTTATTTCTCAAACTTACACTTTTACTGGCAAATGATCACGTTTTATCAGTTGACATGGCTTCGGCTGATATTAATTTGTGGCACTGTGTATACGTGCAACTTAATAAAGTAAATACACTAAATTATGTTCATTATAAATAATGGGATAAAATTACCGCGGATTAACCGGAAGACTGCGTCACCAGCGTCTAACAACAATAATTTCCTTTAATCCGCCACGACATACGCTTCTTGAGGGCCATTTTAAAATGGATTAATTCATGTTAATGGTCAGCTCATATGACTGTGAAAAAGAGATAATAGTAGTTGTTTCAAGCCGTAATCTTATCGGGTATTTTCTTAACCAACTTCAGTTTTTATTTAATTTATTATCACTCATTCCACATGGAATGGCTGGTTTTGTTGTTGTTGAATTAAGCGACTTTTATAATCATTCAACGTCTTTGACGCCCTGCCCTGGTTGCTTATTTGAGATGTACATGGTAAAACAATGATATTTCGAGTTTCAACTGCTGGTATTTGAGTTATGCATTAGACAATCTTGATACATTGATAAAGAGTTGAGGACAATGTGTTGATTTTGCAATTATCGACATCGCAATGTTGTGGGCAGCATTTTAGGTAAATTTGGGCTCAAAACATAAAATATCTTGGATTTATTTCATGCTGGGAGATACTTTGTATGAAAAGCAATAAATCAATAATATTCCTAAAAACAGAGTCGATGTATTTTTGGATCGAATTGCTGATAAAGTGAAATAATGGGAAATTGATGGAATTGTTGGCTAACATTGACGAAAATAATCATTAATTGGTTATAATTAAGGACTACAATGCTGGAAAAGTGCCGCTTATGCCACTCCCATTCACATGCTAGTTATTCAATACAATTTTTGTTTCTACTTTGATGCACATGACGCTTAATCGGGGCAAATGATCACAGATCGTTTTCACCTGACGAGATTATCGTTAGGTAATTCGCGATTATTTCATCAAGGACTATAAAAGTTTGCGATAAAAAGCCGACTTTTAATGACTTTTTAAGTATTGCGTAATTTATTGCAGGTTATCACTCTGAATGGCTTGAAACATAAAATCGAAGGACTTTTTTCCAGTTAATAAAATGAACGTTGCACAGCCAAATTTGCCCTGACTTTGGATGTGGATAAATTCTCAGTACTTAGAGCGAATTGGTTTCTGTTTGAAGCGCTCTTGAGCCCCATGTGTTTTGTTTCAGTCAATGTTTTGGCAAACATTAAGCACCTCAGATGAGTTTTCTACAGGGCGACAAATGAAACAGTGTAAAATCTCGAATATGTCGGCTTGCTCTTAGTTGGACAAAAAGGCAGTTTTTTGGATCTCTACCCCCAAAAGTTCACCTTTTGGTCCAACAACAGAACGGAACACGCGGAACTTTCTCCGGTTATACATTGTTATTTGGCGCCCTAATTTTTTGCAAAACCACGCACTAATCGAAAAAGAATTGCACTAAATAAGGCTTCAAACTAAAAGATTCGCTCTAAGCTCTAAGCAGCCAGGATTTGTCCACTTCCAAAGTTAGTCCAAAATTGTCAGTGTAACGTTGATTTTGCTGAGCAGTTTAGCAGAATTTGCCCCTTTTTTGTATTTTTTTTTTTTTGATAACGCAAACATTCATATTTATTGGTGGTCAAGTTTTCATTCGCTTTGCATGCATTTTACCTACAAACAATTATATCTACTGTAATGTATTTTATTGTTTTCAATCGACTGAAGTTTATTGCCTAATGATTACCAAAAATGCCGTTTTTTGCTTCCCTTTTCGTCTTCCTTCCTTCCTAGTTTCTTTGGCAATTTAAATTTAAAATCTTCTTAAAGAAAGTTGTACATTTTTGGATCAGCTTCACGCATTCAAAATGCTTTTCTCTCCAGCTCTATGATAATTAGTTCCATAATTCCTCCAAATTCCTTTATAAACACGCATTCAAATGACTAAAGTGAGTTATCAGTTTTTCGGAAGCATCGCATGGTATCTAAATAATTTATGAGTAGATAGGGACGTGCCTGAGATCATTTATCCACATTCGCATGCGAATCATTTACCTAAGATAAATTAATCTTGTAGGTTTAAGTGAAACTTTGGGAAGTTTTTGCGTATGTTACTGCTGATTCGTTAGAGAATGTTCAATATGGAAAAAGCACCAGAAATCAAGCGGATTGCATGCCAATACTGACATAGTTTATTTTAAAGATCCACTAGAATACGAATAAAATTAGCATAAAATAACTGGGAAGATCAGTGGAAGATTAACACCTAAGAATTACAAACGTTTCGTATGCGTAATGCGATAATTTGTGAAATCCACAGCCAGCGAGCCGCTAATTGATTCTTCGCTGTGAATTAATGATTGTTTAAATCTCGCTGAGATTTGTCTAGCGCCAACCGATTCAGGTGCTGCTTAAAAACAAGAATTAGCACTAATTTACAAGTATTTTTTAATAGACGGTCACATGTGTTACGTTGCGCTGATGATGGAAGAAGATTAATTCATAGGCGAATATTTAGGTTTTTCGGGCAATTTTGCCACAGTTTTATACTATCAAATCACGTGCTATGTCCCAGTGTTTTACGATCATCATAAACGGATTGCTGCCATCAAACATTTTTAACTAACAACCTTACGGTTTGAAGATGTTTCTTCATTTGCTAGTAAGATTTTCTTGTTGTTTTCAGAGGTTCAACCCAAAGCCCTCACTCTTAAGCGCTAATTACCATGGTTGGTTTAGTAGAGTTTATCACTTGCACTTCAGTCTTCTGAGCGAAAAACGAAAACCAGTCGTTTCACATAATGAAAAACCACATCGGAAGAATATCACTGAATCGATTCATTTTTCGGAAAACAAACGAGCGGCAGAAGCGCGAACTGACATTAAAAAAATGTTCGCGCAGTGGCCCGATATAAAACAAGCGCTACAGCGACGACAACTGTTTCATATTTGTTAATAATTATTTAAGTTACTATATCTACTTAAAGTTACGTCTGGCTGCTAATATGATAAGTGATTTTGTTTTAGAGATGGTGTTTCTGGTCGATAACATCCGCTCAACAAGTTGCACGAAGGATTGCGTTGAGATTTTCACTTTGTTTAACTAATTCGATAAAGTTGCTCATTTAATCGAAGCCGCCGACAACAGTGGAGGATCTTTGAAGAAGATCCGCATCATATGAATTTCCATGTTGGTTCTCTGGCTAAATTTTCATCGTTTGAAACGAAATGGCAAAATGTCGCATCAAAAATTGAATAAAACACTAATTTCGAGAAAAACAAAACGTTACATAACTACTTCACTTTTTCCAAAACAATTCAAATACAACCGCTGATATCAATCAGTTGCTGAGGACACTCGATTTGGATGAATTCGACAGTGGGATTGTCCGCACCCTCGAACCATTGGAACCTCCATTTGCATCCCTCCTGCAACTTTTCTGGGAGGTTTTCGCAGTCCTGCAAAGAATCCAGTGTTGGAGTTGCTTTTGACATCAAACTCAATTTTTACCTCAATAGAGTGCACGCCTCCATATCGGTCGCCCCACCCATCAGTAGGGGCCTCCCATTGCTTGGTGCATCCATTGAAGATTCCGACCCCTCCTCCAGGCATGGCAATGTCGAAGTGGTTCCTACTCAAATCGCTTCCGGTGTTGGTCACTTGGACGACCATTTTTTTATTCGCGATCTGCTCACTGAATGAGAGAAGCATGCAAGAGCAGCACTGGGAGTAGTCGGCACCGTCTACCAGAGTTGGGAGAACCCGATTGGACAAGTTCAATATAGCAATTCGCTCTGGAACCTACCGGTGAAAGAAGCAGCAACAAAACCCAAAGTGATGGTCTCGTTGTAGACGAATGGTTCCTGGTCGGTGCACATGTACGAAGTGCCTCCATCTCCGCATCCAGAAAGCGTGTCTGGATCTATTGTGGTTTCTCCATCGGCTGCACAAGAGCGCGTTGGGATCGTCTTGCCAGTACCATTCAAGTTGCCCTCCCAGGAGCACGAAGGCTTGCAACAGTCCCAGTAGCGAGTGGTGGTTCCACTTCCGCTTAAACCTCCCACCACTGGGATGATATCCAGTTCCTGGGCGCCTACGTAGGCGCTAACTGGAAGGTTTCCTTGTTTTAGATGATTGTTATTCAGATGGTGGAAGCGATGACAAACCTGCTAAAACCAGAAGCACTGCAGAGAGCTTCATGTTTGCCACTGAAACCGATTTCGACCAGTTCAACACTTTTATACGCACTTGATGAGATTGGGGTTTTCAAGTGTTCATTGTGAATGTTGTTATCTCAAGAAGATCCACTTGCGGTTTTCCGGAATGTTTTTATGTAATGGAGTCAAATGCTTCAGCTACAGTTTGGCTAATAATTAGGCTTCTCGATTGATGAGTTCCTGCTCAATGTTGGATCCTGATTGATTGGACTTCCCAAATAATGTATTTTGTTTC